GGGGGGGGGGGGAGGGGGGCGTTCGTACATGATTTCTCCCACCTACCCCTTGTCACAAAAAAAAAGGAAAAAAAAGAAAGGAAAGGGACAAAGCATGAACAAATTTAGCTTGTGAAAGCTCCAGACTTCAATGGGGTGTCAACAGCTAGTTGATTGTCTCGTACAGTTAACAGTTGGCGCCGTACACATCCATGGCCTTCCATTAAGTTGAAAATAAACATATGCAACAACTTCACATCTGAAGTCCGAGTTTAATTATGATTTTTTTAAAATGACCGAGGTCTCGTGTCTGTTCCTAGTAGCGGCTATTTGCCAAACTTTTAAAATCACCTTATTTTAAAAGTATTTTTAAAAAAATTGCTTTTAGTCACAAGCAGGAGCGTATATAGCACGTAGGTAACGGGTTCAATTAAATTTATAATATTCGATGCGTAGCATAAATTTATGTATAAAATAAAAATCTACAAAAATTGCAAAAAATAGTATATATGAACCCATAACTTTAAGAATATAATGGGTTCAATTATAATTCTTAAAGGTTAAACTCATAAAGTTTAAATCTTAGATCCGCCTCTGATCATGAGAAATAGTTCGTGTTTAGCTAATTTATTTGAAAAGTCTTTTGAGTAATAATTAATGTTTGACCCAACTTTTAAAAAGTGTTTCTAAATGCATTTTCTCAAAAGTGCTTTTGAAAAGAAGCTGTTTTTCTGTTTCTCAAAAACTATTTATGTTTCTAATCAAAAATACTTTACTTCTTCTAAAAAGCTTGGCCAAATAACTTAACTTCGAAAAAAAGAATATTTTTGGCAAAACAAAACACTTTTAGCCTAAAAGAAGCTTGATCAAACACGTTATAGGTATGGTTCTACTTTGTGAAAGAATGTATATAAAATTGTCCCCTTGATTACATATCGCATGACATTTTAAGAGTAACTTCACGTATTCTAACCTATGGGTGTTTAACGGGTGGGTTGGGACGGGCTGGATACAAAAAAAATCAGCTCGTCCGTTTAACGTTGCGGGTTGTTAGCGGGCTAAGTTTGGGATGTACTTTTTCGGGTTTTTTTTTGTTCGTCCGGGTTCAGGCTTAGCGGGTTGTTAGCGGGCTGTGGATTTTTTTATTAAAGTAAATTTTATTTTTCTTATTCAATGTTATTGATACTTAAGTGTTTGCAAACTTTTAAGGCTTAGAATTAAACTTTGAAGTTTAAAATTTTAAATTTGAAAATTGAATTTTATAATTGAAATTTGAAAGTAAGTGGCTACAAAAAATTATTTAATAAGACCAATAAGCAATATGTAAGGATCAAGCTCCGAAGACTTTCATTTGATATTTTTATTGAATAATATATAATACTTCAAATTAAGTTGCAAGTTCTTTTTTGATTTTATTATTTTTGAACTTGCAAATTAAAAGTTTACAATAATTATTAAAAAAAAAAATATTACATCACATGATTTGCATCATTTTTGTAAGTTCATCCATGTCAACATGAGGTTCTTGATTTCCGACATTGGTTGAATCAGAATCATAAACCATTATATCTCCAATTTCTTGGTCCTCCGCTTCATCTAGCTCGTCACGCCCTTGATTTCGTCGTTCTGATCTTATCCAATCTCTGAAGCACACTAGAATTTTCAAAGCGTTGCTACCGAATGAATAACGGGTATCTCCTAGTTGCTGCCTTGCTTGGCTAAATGCGCTCTCTGATGCGACTATTGAAATAGTCACATTTAGCACGTCTCGAGCCATGACCGAAAGAACATGAAATTGATTTGAGTTGCTCCTCCACCAACCCAGTGGTAGAAATTTCTTTGTGCAAGGCTCTGCTGACTTTTGGAAGTAGAATTGAAGTTCATCAATATTCCTGCTACTGGTTTGTTTATGCTCCCTTATTGTAGACCAAATCAAATAATCTTCAACACCATCATTATCATCCAAAGCACTAGTCCCAGATGTTGAAATTGAACTTGAAGGAATATTTGCATCTACAGCAGAAGAAGCATCAACAATGTTAGAATAATAATTATATAATATTTCTAAATGTTTGTGTAGATCAGAAATACAAGTGTCAATATCAGGAGTTTCAGTTGGTCCAATATCCATATAAGAATATAAAGCAGTGATTAATTGGCGACAAGTGACCATTTTGATTGAAGGGTTTAAAATATCACAAATTAGGTAAATAGGGAGAATTGGGTAAAAATATTTTTTAAACTTATCTAGCATAGATTCAACAACAGAAGTATATCCTTCTTTCTTCTTCAAATTATGTAGTAAAAGAGAAATTTCAGCAATATGAACTAAACCATTTGCAATAGTAGGATAATAAGCTCCAGAAAACTCAAGTGTAGCCACATAAAAAAATTGTAAAAACTTTACAACATCTTCAATGACATCCTAAGTTCTAGATGTTAACAAACGGCTAAGATCAGTATAATGAGAATTAGCAACTTCAGTTATAGATATTCTATATTTATAACAACATTTTAAGAATAAATAAGTATAATTCCACCTAGTAACTATTTCTTCAGGCATGAGTCTTGGTTTTAGTCCATAGTGTACACATTTTTCTTTAAATGCATTTAATCTAACACTTCTGTTATTTCCTTGAATTACACTAACAGCTCTTCTAACTAAAGTGATATCATCTCTAAATAATTCAAGGTCACTCTTCATAATCAAATTATAAATATGACATGCACATCTAACATGAAATATTTCAGAAAGTGGTGGGTGTAGATGCAATTTTAATATTGTAATAGCAGCATTGTTGTTAGAAGCATTATCAAATGACACACACAAAACTTTTTCTGCAAGATTATAAAATATAGCAACTTCATGGATAGTATTACTTATAAAAAAAATTAAAAAAAAATAAAAAAAACAAACGTTAAAAATCGGGTTGAACCGGGATGTAGCCCGTTAACGGGTTAATGGGCTTAGTGGGTTCCGGTGCACCGGTATCCAAAAACTATTCGTTTGAAACCCGGTCCCCGGTCCCCCACGCTACAGTACCGGGCTGAACCGAGTTGTAAACGGGTCAGCTCGGTCCAATTAACATGTATATTATAACCCCATTTATCCAACTTATGCTAACAACATTTCAAACGACATTTGCTCAAATGTTTTCTGGAAAATTAACTTTAAGTCGGAAAAATTGTGATATACGTATATATTTTCTTTAAAAAAAATAATATATCTAAATGCTCAAGATTAAAGTTTAAGCATCAAAGGGTGTGACCTAGCTATTACATTACTCATGTATATGTGCTAGTAAAATATAACAGAGTGGAATATATAATCAATCGAGGTGCGCGTCAAGGAATAACGGAGTTAGTAATTGCGATGGGAATAAATAAAAGTTTGTGATCTATATATAGAAAAGTTTGTTTTACCTTATGCATTATAACTATTTGGCGAAGGATATTCAATTAAATCCTCACGCGGCTCCACCACTGATTTCAAGCTGGCTTGAGCACTGCGTCATGAAAAAAAGTTAAGATTAACAAGTTAGAGATATTATTGAAATTGTTGCGTAAAACATAAAGAGAAGTATCTCTTTTTCTTCTTTTGTAACGGCAGGGTTTGAATGAGCAAAACACTCCCATTAATACATGCCTTGAATGATTTTGCACAGTAAGAATAAATTACCTAACATTTTTTTAAAACCAAAGCTACGAGAAATCACCTGCATAAATACAAGAACAAAGAAAGCCATAAACATGGAGGAAATTATGGGGGAGATTTTAGTTGTGCCATTCTTTGGACAAGGCCATGTTTTCCCATTAACGGAGCTATGCAAGAAACTCTCCTCTTTTCGTTTCAAAACTACACTCATCATTTCTTCTGATATCTCCTCCTCCGTCTCCTCCACCTTGCTCCTCCACCCATTAGTCAGCGTCGCCGCCGTTGACGCCCCATTACCACCGCCTCCTAAACCTGGAAAATTTGATCCTCAGCCTCTTATGTTGCATTGCAAGCAGTTGAGACAAGGCATGGAATCTATCTTAAGAAGCTGCAGATCAGTGAAAAACAAGTTTGCAATTTCAGTTGTTTGTGCCATAGTTGATGCCATGATGTTGTCACATATTGAAGATATATTCACCACATTTCAGGTACCTAGTGATTTAGAAAGGGTTTCAACATTTCCTTTTTAGAGAGAATATATAACAACTTTCTAAATTTAAAAATAATAATTAGTCAGCAATTACGTGAAATTCTGTGTATATATATATCATTATCACCGCAGGTACCTATTGTGGGTTTCTTCCCTTGTGGCGCAGCTTGCCTTGCCATGGATTATGCTGCTTGGAAAACTGATGTAGAATACATCAATCCGGGTGAAACACGGTTTCTTCCCGAATTACCCAATGAAATGGCCATGGATTACGTTGATATAGTTAGGAGATATAGCTCATTAGAGGAAGCATTTGGTTCTGAGATTTCACGTACGAAAACGAAATCATTTCCGACACAACCTGGTGACGAGCCACCATGGGTGGAAGAGGTATTGTAAGAAGAGTTTAAGTTATATATATAAAAGTTTTACCATGTGTCGGTCTAGCAGATAACCTGTAGCAGGTAACGTCAATTTAATTTCAAAATTACTGTATTTTAAGAAAGTTTACCTGTAGATATCTTTTGGGTACCAAATAATGTAAAAAAATATTTTCACTTACTATGCATATAACTAAAACTCATGTATATTAGAATAGTTTATTACTGTTGAGAATTGTGAAAATTCCTACATCGACTGGGACAAAGGAATTTTGAAGGTCTAAAGATGAAAGTTTACCAAAAAGTTTAAACAAGCAATTGATACTAATATATTACTCTCTATCTTATGTTATGAGAAAGGGTTCGTAGTATGAGGGTAAGCACTTAATTTTTGGGGTGAATTTGAGATAAATTCTTCAAGTCTAAAATTAAATTTACCAAAAGTACAACTATAAGTTAGCAATATTAAGAATTCAGAACATTAAAAAAAAAAATACTTTGTAAAAATCGTAACTAAAGAAAGAAGTGACTCGTCAAATAATAATAGTGTCACATAAAATAAGATTGTTGGTATATACGAACAACATCGCTTTAAGAAAAGTTGCTTTACTCTCAAATCCCTTCACAATACTGTCTTTATTTTCTCCAAACAGGTAAAGGTTACAGTTGCAATTCTTGTGAACACGTTCGTTGAACTAGAGCAAACATTCTTGGAGTATTTAGTAAAACAAACAGGACTTCCAATTTGGGGCGTTGGCCCTATGTTGCCAGAAAAATTCTGGACACTCACTGCCTCAAAATCCCTCCTTCGCGATCGCGACATTAGAACAAATTTTAGTCACAAAACAAATTACTCAGAAGATGAAGTACTCAATTGGTTAGACTCAAAGTCTCCTAGTTCAATCATTTACATTGCCTTTGGTAGTGATGTTGTGCCCACTTTGGAAGAACATGAAGAAATAGCAAAGGCACTAGAAGAGAGTTCAAGGCAAAATTTCATATGGGTAATCTCCAAAAATCAAGACTATTATCCTAATGGCTTGGAAACTCAAGTTGGGAAAAGGGGTTTGATAATAAATGGATGGGCACCTCAATTGTTGATATTAAGTCATTCGTCGACAGGTGGATTCTTGACTCATTGTGGATGGAATTCGACTATGGAAGCGATTGGACAAGGGGTACCTTTATTAGCATGGCCTATTAGAGGTGACCAATTTTATAATGCAAAGTTGATAGTGTGTTATCTCAAAATTGGCCACATGGTATCATCAATTGGAGAAAATATTGGGTTGAAAAGGGTTAAGAAGGAAGAGATAATACAAGGGGTTCAGAGATTAATGGAGGATAAACAAGTTCATAATCGAGTAAAGGATTTAAGTCACAAATATAGACATGGTTTTCCAATTAGTTCAGCAGCTACTTTGCATGATTTCAAGGATTTTATTATGCAAGCAAAGTGAAGAGCGGAGAATGTTAGAGGGTTTTGTCTGTGCTCTAGAGTAAGCTATCTTCAATTTATTTCTTAAGTCCGCATTGAAACTAAAAAATCCTCGCATCTAAAATAAAATACTTTGTACCCTAATGTCATAATTCAAAAATCCTTTGTTACTTGTTACTTATCCATTCATGACACTAGCAAAGTGTTTCGTATTTGCTACTGTTAAATTAAGGTCCATATGTATACCTTAACTTGGTATTATGATTTAAAATTATCGTCATATTAAAGCTCTGTTAAAGCTCAATAGCAAAAAATAATACTTCCTTCATTTATTTTTAGTTGTCCACTTGTTTGTTTTTTAAATATGAATTTATGGCAAGTAACAAAAATCTTCAATCTTGAAAGTAAGTATCACATCCACTTTTGACTTTGCACTTCTTTTAAGAAAAAATAAATGAAATATTTATTTTATAATTTTACCCATAATAATTATAGTATTTCAAAAAATCTTAGTAAATGATTTGGGGAATAAGTAGTTAATGATAAGAGTAAAACAAGAAAATACTATTGGGTTATCGATATCGGATTATTGGATAAATATTTCGTTAACGGTTTAATATTATTTGACTATTGGGTTATCGGTTTGGGTCTCGGTTTGTTCAATTTTATTAACGGTTTAACCGATAACCCAATAAGCTTTATCAAAACTATAATTTTACCCACAAAGTATATAAAGCCACCTTATGACTTCATCTCTCATTCTCTCAGAGCAGTTACTTTTCATTTTCAGATCTTAATCCTTAGAGTAAGTTTTAAACTTTTCATATTTTTAGTTTTTCTATTTGTTTCTTTTGTTGCACTGATTCTTTAGCATTTACAAGATTAGAATTTTATTATTTTTCTGTGAATTATGCCCGCCCCGCAGTGAGATACTTAGTAAGATTAGAATGTTGAATGTCTTATTCCTTACTCCTAGTAACTTATAACTTTAAAATTAAGATCATTCGTTGAGATTTTCACATGCAAAAAAAAAAAAAAATTCTTTTCTAAAGTTGAAATTTAATCCCTCCTTTCTTAAGAAAAAAATTTCAGTTCCTTTCTCTTACCAATATGGTCACGATTTCTATGATAAGAACATAAACTTTTTTGAATGTTTTTTATTCTTATCGGGTAAACTAATAATCGAACCGATAACTGACTAACCGATATCTTATCGGTTTAATATATTTCTAAACCGATAACTGATATGTCGAACCAATAACATCTACAACCGAACCGACCCGATCAATACCCTCACCCATATAGTAGATAAGTAAAAGTGAATAGAGGGAGTATATATCAAAAGTTTAAAATGAGCAAAGTAGCTCAATTTCAAGTAACAAGTTTGACCATTTTCTCTTCTATTCATGAGTTTATATCCATTTATCTTTTGCAAATGCTCTGTGTTCATGTTCCTTTCGTATCAATTTCTATCTCACTGATTTTGTTCTACTTAGCAAAAAAATTGATTAGGATTTCCTCGAGAATAGAAGACGATCGTTGGAGCAACGAGGAATTGTAATTGATCTCAAGTCAAAAAAAAAGACTTCAAGTTTTTCATTATTACTTTACTCTATAAATAAAAAACCGTTTTGACAAAGGTAACGGAATTTGTTAGTGAAAATGAGCTAAGAAAAGGCCCCCTGACACATTTTTCTTTTTTTTTACTAAGTGAAGCAATGAATGACTTGAAGTAATTACCAGTTAACAAGAATGTCTCTGGAACTTCTTTAACACATAGGAATACGAGTTAAGATTAATAATTTGGAGAATCACAATCACATACAAAGGGAAAGAAAATAAAAAATGTATCAAAATGGAATTAGAATATTTGTCCTAACCAATATGATAAAGAAGAAGAAGAAGAAAGTTAAGATAGAGCAGCATCTTGATTTTGTCAATATTACAAATTTGAAGCTCTCGGCCAGGCCAACAACCTAGTCGTACAATATACAATGTATGATTCTGCAACAAACACAACATGCTTTATACAACTTAAAAACAAACTTAATTGGTCGACTCTATAAAAAAGCAGGACAAGCATCACTATCATCTCACCTAAAGCATAATTAAGTGATATTAGTAAAATGAAAATACGACAAGTTACAAGAGAGATACAGTTTTAGCTAATTTAAAATTATTTAATAATGCTCATAATTCCCAAAATTACTAGTTATAAAAAAGTTACAGTTTTGCATTTCTCTTATCTCTCAACAAGGTCAAAATTAAATCCATAAAATAAAAATCCAAAATAAGGCGCAACAGAAATTTAAAAATTTAAATTATTTTGAAGTTTTTCAATATAAGAAATTAAATATATTTTTCTTGCAATCTTAATAGATCTAGTGAAAGATAAAAATAATGAAAGAAAAAAAAAATTATACGACCGACACCAATTAATTGAAAATATATTTTAGTAATATTAGCATGTTTTCTTTAAGTTATGAGATTCAAATGCCTATAGAAAATAAATAGAACTTCTAGGATTATTTTCGTTGTATAATATTGGTCTAAAACGAATTTAAATGGAGACGCAGTCAGTGAAAATTCACATAGCCAATCCCAATTTATTTGAAATTGCAACATACTGTAGTTATTTTTGTTTAAAATAGCTGGTTAAAGGTTTTTTGGTATTTCTTTAACTTAAAAAGTTCAACTTCTTGTGAAAAAAACATCAAAATTTTGAAACAAACATCATTTTTTAAAAATAACTTTACTTTTTGCAAATAATTAGGCAAGAAAAACGGCACCAAAAGATCAAGAACTTTCCAGTGAAGGAAACTTAAGCATAGAAGATATGATATTCTTTCCTCAAGAACCAAGAATAAAGCCAAGTATTTGTGTAAACGGTGAATTTGGCCAGCTATTTTGTGTAAAAATTCCTAAAATTATAATGATAATGTAAACTATTAGGGTATATATTGAATAAGTCGCTCAAACTTGGAATCTTGTAAGTGAAGACAGGAAAAATAAATTTTATTTTTTATTTAGCAAACTTGGGCTGGTCATTGTAACTCCCAGGCCCCAGCTCAAACAGCAAAATACATTTATTTTTGTTCATACATATAGCAAAACTTGGGCTGCACTTGTTTTTTCAACCATCTCACTTAAAAGTGTTGAAAATCCACCATAAAGACATGCAATTATATCAGGATTTTCCAGCAACCAAAAAAAGTACACAACTCATACAAGTAGAGGTTACTTTGTCACTAGCAATACATGTTCCTGAGTACAGCACCAGACACTGCTTATTTCGATGGTAGCATCTCTCAAACATCTGCATCCAATACAAAACCAAAAGTCATGGCTCCAATGCTATAGAATGCAACTTTAATTGAATAAACAAGTTGCCGAAGGATGTTAACTTACCGTTTGGGGAACAAGAACTCCTTGAAAAGTCAGACGGAGCCATAGGAATGGATATGGACAGCTGAGTAGAGGAGAAATTATTTTTGTTGGATCCCTCGTCATCAAGATTGGACCACGATTCCTTAGCTGTAGGCCATTCGTCAAAGAAAGGGCGCATAGAACGTTCCTCCTGCTTTACAGTCCCAGGAGAGCCAATGTCACTGACAAAAAAGCAATGTTGTTGCTGTTTCGAAATAGTTGCATCAATCACAGGCTCAAATGGATGAGGCAGTCGTGTTTGAGGCGAGTCGTATAGCAACTGAGTGTCATTTTTTGGTTTCACCATTGGGTTTGAGGGAAGTTGTGGTGTTAAACACCATGTGCTGTCTGCATTAGATCCCATCCCTAAACTTCTCATACTAGCTGAAGCTTCTAGAGAGAAATTCTGCTCATCAGCATCAACAGCCATTCCATGGAAATATCTGTGTTGGCATTTTGCATTTCATTAATGTGGATGTTACACCACTTATAAGACAAGTGCAGCTCAATTTTGCTATATAAAAATAAATGAATTTTGCCAATCTTTCGGTTGGAATGCAACAATTACTTTTGGATATTCCAGTTTAAGCAACATTGTTAGTATTTCGTAGTAAATCATGTAGTCTAGTTTCAAGTACCCAGATGATTATTGACCAAGTCGGCCCTAATTATTCTGGGTTCTTGTGGTGTTACATCACTTATTTCTCCAAAGAAGTCTATACCATGTATCTTATGGCCTATACATCTCTCTTATTTAGCTTTTTCCATTCTCTTACCTATTCAGAAATCCAGTCACAGTGTTTCTTAGTGACCAAACTCTGAGAGTCCAATAAATATCATCTACTTCTTTCTGCAGTTCCACTTCTAACATTGATCAAGCCCTTGAAAATTCAAACTGAAAGCGCTCATATTCTAAGACAACCTATTATGCTGTCGAAGCTGCTTGCTGTCCTTAGAACTGCTGAAAGTATCCTATCGAAATTAGGCACTATATAATAATCCTGGTGCACATATAATAGTCCTTTTTTAAGACAGGAAAAATTGGCAGACATGATCATGCGTCACTTTCTACAGTAATAGCCGCAAAATTGATGCAACTCTCTCTCAACAAGTTTTTACTGTGGTTTCTTAAAAAAAGTAAATGATACTGAAAAGAAGTCCATACAATTTTTTTGCTGTCATTACAATAATAAAAACTTTTCATATTAGTAAGAAGAGCTAATATGATAAATTAACTCCAAGTATTCTTGGTCGACTAAGAAAGAAATGGAGAAAGGAAATCTACTCCCCCTTCAAAGTTCTTTAGAATAGAATTAGAAGATTTGAACCCTCGAAGTCCTATCAAGCAAACAACAGGATGGCAGAAAAAATAAAATCATGATTACTGATATGCCCTTAGTGCTCACTACAAAATTTTGTTATTAAACCTTTGCATATAAGATTATTTGGAACTCGAATTATGTCACAAGGAAATAGGGAAATTTGTATTTCAGCAAGAAGAGTATGACCTATTTGGCATCCTTCCAAATGTAAAAGATTTGATTGTAACGTTTTTATCTTTACTTCGCAACAGAAACACAAATCATATACGCAAGCCTTTTCACATGTAACCAGTATTGAACATCACCAAGTACAGCCAAAGACCAAACTTTTACCCAACATTGTATAAGCATTCAAGGAAGATCCCATTTAAGTAACAAAATGCCAACTGCTTGAAAAAATAAACAAGTACATCTGAGAAAAAAGCACCTAAAGAAAACATGAACCATAGAGGACAAAGAGACTTTACCTATATGCCTTGTTATCTACCCCATAGGAGACAGGCTCCATCTGCGTCTTCATTCCAGTGCTTCCATAATTCGGTTCTTCTGAATAAGCAGCAGAATATAATGGCATGTTCTGTAAGCTTCCGCTGCTGCTAATTTGGAAATTTCCACTTATTTTGCTGCTTCCAGTAGCATTGTTCGACATACTTGTCAACAGGGACTGGGAAGTAGATTGAGATTCCACATGCTTTCTTGAACGGTTTCGGCCTCGATTCATGTGCCGCTCGCAATATTTTGAGTCAGGATATGCATCTTTGGAGCACCTCCACTTCTTTCCATCTGTCCTTCTACACCTTCCTGGCTCAGGGTCAAACTTCTTTCCATAATAGGAACAATAACCCACTGACCACAGAAGATACAAGCTAATAAGTTCCTTATCTAGAAAACAGATATGGCTGCAACACCTCTCCATCAAACCCCTAAAAAGGACTTTATAACACAACAATAACCCAGTAAAATACTACTAATGGGGTCTGGGGATGGTAGTGTGTACGCAGACCTTACCCCTACCCTGAAGGAGTAGAGAGGCTGTTTCCGAAAGACCCTCGGCTCAAGAAAACAAAAAGACAAAAGGATAAAAGGAGATAATATTAGTATCACCACAGCAATCATAGGAAAAATAGGAACACCATGAAATCCAGAAGAAAAATGCAGAGCAAAAGCGATAGCTAGTAAATAGGACATGCACTGCAAAGCGAAGTAAATAGGACTTTATAACACAAAAAGGAAATATTTTACTACATTTGGTTGGCCATTCTGCAGTCAGAACCCCAACAGATAGGAATTATACCAGAATAGAGACTGAAACTTATTCACTTCACAGACATTGAGATATAATGCAGCCTATAAATTATAAATTATGCATAAAACCAAAATAAACACCAAATGAGCCTCTGGAAATCAATAACATGATATCTCTTACTGTTTTGTGAAACAAAAGAAACAAAGATATAGTCCACCACTTGCCATATTCATTTAGATTACATTAGTAACCTACTTAAAATCAAAAGAGACTTATCCTACGGTCCTTCCCAATAAATAAAAGAGAGAAATGTTTCTCTTAGGGCTAACGAATTGCAGAAATAAGCAAAAATGAATGGATCAGTAAATGTCCAAACAAGAAAACAGAACGAGGAGAAAACAAAATGTAAGGGCTACTAATGATTGTACTGCCTTAAAAAAAATATTAGACCAAAAAAAGTGGAAAGCAATTTTCTTTATATGCATGCTCCAATTTCCCTATCAAAGCATGGTAAACTTCTCTTTCAGAAATGCAGACATTTCCAAGTTCCAGCACACTGCTTACTGAAAGAAGCTAAAAGTATTAACTATTGATAAATGAGCAAATTAACTTACAAAATGAAGAACGGAACGTTTTTACTTTAAATGAGAAAGACCTGGATCTCAGAATGGGATTCAGAATTTAAATTCATTGCATTTTTAAATTATGGATTCAAAATTTAATACTATTCCATAAATTTTAGTTTTTCCATGCAAAACTCGGGATAATAGGCCCGTCCCTCTACCTTCTCCACTTAAATATCAGGCTTAGTGATATTTAGCTTTAAGTATATATATTTATATGCATATCGCCTAATGTTTTACTCGTGTCTCGTAGATTTCGGATGTAAAATGTATTGATTTATGTTAATTCATGGTATTTTTATATGTAGGAATCATCCGGAGGCAATAGGGGGCGAAAGGTGCGAGATTAGAGCCAAAACAGAGAAAAACGGGAAAATGTTGAATTCCAGCGCCACAGGCAGCGCCCCACGCCACCTGTGGCGCCATTTACAGAATGCTCAAAGGGCCAGCGCCAGGCAGCGCACGGGCGCTGGTGACAGGAATTTCTCCAACTTTGCTCGGGACAAGGTTATTTCGGCCCTAGACCTACCCAACACGTATAAAAGCAAGACTAAGCCTATTTTGAGGAGGGAGATGCCACTTTGAAGAAAAAATACACATGAGGAACATCCGAGAGCGAGGATATCTCAGTTTTCTTCATCTTTTCTTAGTATTTTCAATTATTCAACACTTGTGAATTTGTTTGATACTATCATGAGTGGCTAAAATCCATAGTTCTGGGATTGTGATTTAGCCATGAATATTGTTGTTTAACGTTGACTTAACCTTAATTACAATTCACCAATATATGGTTGTTTCTTCAATTCTGTGATTAATTGCTTAATTGTCTGGTCAGCAGTTAGGTTGTATTTACTATCTATGCTATGCTTGGGAAAACCATGTTTAGATTAGAGAAGAATTGAAGAGAGCATGATCTTAACTCTTAGGGGGGGCAGATTTGTGGTTAGGATAGGAATATACCTAGTCACCGTGCTTAATTAAATATCGTAATCTTAATGCGTACTTAATAGATTGATTGCATAGAAATATAGGTGTTAATCTATTTTGAATAGGCGAGTAGTACTTCGGGAGAAGGCTACGAGAGCAATTGTTCAATTAATTAGCAACCATGAGTGAATTGTATGAAAGGGAGAGCTAACTAGAACACAATAGGATTGGTGAATCGACCACAACCCTAGAAAATTTGTCTATATTGAATACACAACAACCATTTTGTTGCTTGATAATTTAGTTACTAGTTAGAATTATTGTTTTGTATAATCACACTTTTGAACTTTGATTGACTCGACTGAATAACAATTGTGATGAATTTAGTGAGTAGTTAATACAAGTTTCTGTGGGTACGACACCCGACTTATCATTTTATTACTTGTACAACCACTTATACTTGCGTGTGCGTTTGGGAGCGACAAGTTTTTGGCGCCGTTGTCGGGGACTTGAATATTGACTACTTTCTAGTTTTAGCTTTAATTGTTTATTTCGTCAAGTTTAACGTTACTTAATTGTTGCTCTGCTCTCAGGAACCTTGATTGAATGCGAAGGGTAAGAAGCCAGGACAGACTTCAAGGCTTTGACCCCGAACCTGAGAGAACATTTCACAGGAGGTTAAGGGAAGCAAGGGACACAAATAATCTTCAGGCACTTGTTCAATTTCCTGTGAACATAGCAGAGGAGCAACATATGGCTGTTCAGGAGGTGGCGATGCCCAGCATTGCTAATGTCACCTCCAGCATTGTGAAGCCTAGAATCACTGGGCACTTTGAGCTGAAACAGAGCATGATCAAGCTACTACATGCGAATGGGCAGTTTATGGGTCTTCCACACGAGGATCCACAACAGTACATCCTGAACTTCTTGGAGATTAGTGATACTTATATCACTAACGAAGTCACTCCAGACTATGTGAGGCTCACATTGTTCCCGTTCTCTCTGTTGGGCGAAGCAAAGCGTGGTTGAAGGCAGTACCAGCTAATTCTATTACATCATGGAATGATCTGGCAAGGAAATTTTTGGCAGCAAAACTGCAAAGATCAGAAGTGAGATAGTCGCCTTCAAACAGAAATCGGGGGGTCTTTATACTCAGCTTGGAAAAGATTCAAGGGGATGCTCAGAGACTGTTCTCATCACAATCAGACAAACGAAGTGTTAGCTCACACTTTCATAGAAGGGCTACATCCTTGAGACAAAGATTGTGGTAGATGTTGTAGCTGGAGGTCAAGTGTTGGAGAAAAGCTTTGATGAGATATATGCGTTATTGAACAAATTCTCCAAAAGCAATCCTGATTGGCAAGGAGAGATGAGCAGACACACAGTGCAAAAATCTGCAGGGGTTCTCGGGTTAGATGTATTGTCTGTATTATCAGCCCAGATTGCCACATTGGCCAACCAAGTCAATCAGATGACCTTGGTTATTAACAAGCAACAAGTCCAGCCAGTGCAACAGGTTCAAATATTTTGTGAAGTATGTGGAGAGTGTCACACGAGCGACTTATGCCCAGTTAACCCAGAGTCTGTCTGTTTTGTGGATAATGCAAATAGGGGCCAGACAAACCAGTATGGGAACACTTACAATTATAACTGGAGGAACCACCCAAACTTCTCTTGGGGTGGAAACCAAGGTGCTCAAAATCAGTACAGGCCACAAGCGCCTCAACAGCAATATAGACCACCTCAGGCTGAACAACCTGCAAACCCGACGAGTCACCTTGAGGACATGATGAAGAAATTAATGGCTGACCAGCAAGCTTAAGCAGCAACCAACGCTGCAGCAATTCAAAATTTGGAGCGACAAATGGGGCAACTTGCCAGTGCCCAAAATACTCGACTAGTTGGAGCTCTTCCAAGCGACACTGAGGCTAATCCTAAGGCACCTATTAATGTTGTGTCATTGAGGAATGGAAGACGGTTAGAAGAAGTCCAGTCGAAAAAGAGAAAACAAGTGACCTTTAATAAGAAACCGGCCACCATAGAAGTAGAATCAGAAAAATCAAAGAAGACAGAGAAGCCAGCTGAAGAGGCGGTGGCTAAGCAACCCCCACCATTAGTTGTCAGGCCACCACCTCTGTTCCCTCAGAGATTGCAGAAAGTGAAGGATAATGCCGCTTATAAAAAGTTTCTTGATATTTTGAAGCAGGTGCAAATCAATATTCCACTGGTTGACATCCTGCAAGAAGTGCCCAAATATGCTAAATACATCAAGGACATAGTGGCAAATAAAAGGAGGTTGACCGAGTTCGAGACTGTGGCACTACCTCAAGAATGTAGCTCAAGAATTCAAAGCAAACTACCTCAGAAATTGAAGGATCCGGGTAGTTTCACTATCCAAATCTAGATTGGTATGCATGCAGTCGACTGAGCTTTGTGTGATCTTGGAGCGAGCATCAATTTGATGCTGCTATCTGTGTTCAAACAGTTGGGGTTGGGTGAGCCGCGCCCAATAACGGTAATTTTACAGTTGGATGATCGCTCCCTTGCTCATCCTGAAGGAATGATTGAAGATGTGTTAGTTCAAGTGGGTTCTTTCATATTCCCTGCTGATTTTATTATCTTGAACTACGAGCTTGATCAAGAAGTCCCATTTATTTTGGGGCGTCCATTCTTAGCCACGGGCCGAGAGCACTCAGATTGCCAGCCCACTATGAAGAGCTATCTATGATTTATGTGGTGGAAAGTGATGCGACGTCATTTGTGCCTTATATGAGCCCTATAGATCCTCTTGAACGAGCTTTGATTAGGGATGAAGAAGACAGTAAAGATGAGATGACGGGAGAAATTGAGCAAGTACTTGACATGTCTTGCACCTGCGCTTGAAGAAGGTTTGGGAGATTTGAGGAGTTGGACAGGCCTGTCACTTTGACCCCTCCTAAGCCATCTAATGAAGAAGTTCCATAGCTAGAACTTAAGCCCCTTCCAGTGCACCTGCGCTATGCTTATTTGGGGAACTCTGAGACATTGCCGGTGATTATCTCATCCAGCTC